CACATTATAACGCTCCCACGGCTGAAATGGCGAGCATGTTTAGTGTGACGGGGATTTGAACCCGCAGATGGCGAGTTGAGCGCCCTAACCACCTGGCCATGCCGGGCCCACGCATGTTATTGACCTAGTGTGAATTTGCTACTGGTTATTTTAACATGAAAACTCACTGACATGTTTAATTAAAACAAATACGGCTAGTCTATTAACATAATGTAAAATTGGATTCAATATAAACTTTCCCTCTGTTGACTCAGAAACATGCTATTTACATAGTGTCCATTGGAAACTTGATCATAAATACTTCTGTTATAAAATACAAAGAGTTTATCATCTAAATTATTTACTTACAAGACATTTGATCAGGTAAGCCACTTACAAAACGCGAAGTGAAAAGTATTTAGTACCCAAAGTCTTTTGTCATGGGAGAATGGTGTAAAATGTAAATTGACTGGGTCCCGATGATCAATGTATATATACATCATTAATGAATTTCAAGTTTTGCACTGAATAGAAATAATTAAGTATGTCTTTTAAAGTAAATTAGAGGAAGAAATTACACTAAAACTTTAAATAGAAATTATAGTAGGTGACAATGTGATAAAATTGGATTTAATCCTGACATGAGATCGAAAATGGAAGAATGATTAAACGTTCTTTGATATAATTTGATGGCTAGTTTAAAATTTATTTTCGAGACACCACCATGCACCATGAATAATTATTTAAAATATACTGATATTCGAGTAAAAAATATGCTAAAGCATTAGCTATGGATATTTAGTTTAATCTTTTGCTTTTCGGGTCATATACATTCTCAATTCTGTCCGCGAGATGGCAGTCTTTACCTTACTGTGTAATCATAATAGATGATATATGTACCGGGTATTGTGATTTTCTAAATTAGTGAACAATATTTGCATAATAAATCACCACTCATCATTTGGAACTACATTCTTGAAACGTAAAACAAAAATTAAGATATTCAAAAGGATCTAATATATATATATATACATTATATTAGTTAAATAATGTCGGTGCACGTATCTTTATCGTCTAGTGAAGCGCGCTAGATTTCAATTATATTTCCTAAGTTTCATTCTTCATCTTTCCAAAAACAACAATTGAGCACCAACTCCTTTTTTTCTGGGCCGATCGCCTTGAAACTTGAGGGCTTATATGGCCAGACACCTCTTACTTTTTAATTTAGTTCTCCATTTCGACTTTAGGGGTCAAAGATCAAACAGTACAAAAATACACATTAAATCCTACGCGCTCTTTTATTTCCTTTAATCTAAATGAGATGTCGCAAAGATACCTTGCAACAAATCTCACAAAATAAAGCAAACAGATTTAGGATCTGTGCATTTCTTTTGATTTTATAAGGGTTAAATGCCACAAACTCACAAAATTAGGGGTGTTGACCTACAGTTT